AAGGCGCGTCCGTCTGTGATTTTTCTGTATTGAAATAAGAATGAAAAAATGGAGAACAGGCGAAGACTAATATTTTCTCAAAGGTGTAAAGGCGCGTCCGTCTGCGATTTTTCTGTAGTCGTTGAAATAAGAATGAAAAAATGGAGAAAAGACGAAGGCAAATATTTTTTCAAAGGTTTAAAGGCGCGACGATAATCAAGAAAATGTTATTTAAAACAAATTTTGTACACCTATCTAATTATGTTTAATATTTAGGTAATCGAATTATATTTGCGGGTTTGAAAAGTAATACTAAAATTTTCCCTCCTAAATTTTCCTCATGATGCGAAATTAGAGTAAAATTAATTTTTTGATTAATTTAGAGTAAAAATTAATTATTATACAATTGATAGTTATTTACTATATTCATTAGTATCTAATATATATATATATATATATATATATATATATATATATATATATATATATATATATATATATACTAGTATTTTTGCACGTGCCTTGCATGGGATGAATTTGTTATAATATTTTAAAAATATTTAGATCGATATATAATTGTATAAATTATAACATCGAATATTATATAATATAATTGAAGAATTGAGTTGTACCGATTGTGTTTTCTGATGTTATCATTGCTTGAATTCGAGCAAATAATTGTCAATTAATAGCTAACGTGTAGATATACGCATTCAGTAGTGCAACTTTAGAGATTTTATATATCAGTGTTTAGGATTTGTATTAATTGGGCTAATTAGCTCGTTATCTAGCAACTCAGTTATAGAAATTATTTATACGGAAGATATATTTTTTATGTAGATATATAGCAATTTTGTCATCTTAGTATAAAAAACAAACATAATATCACGGGCTTGAATTATACATTATTGAAAATCTCTTTGTAGAGGACATTGGTAGTAGTAACAGAATTTTATCCATCCTCGTCTAGAGTTAAAACCATCAGGATGGGTGACTCGGTAAAAAAACCAAATACAATTAACCATTTAACCGTGATTAAAGATTGGTTTTTTTTTTTTTTTTTTTTTCCAGTAATAACTCAACGTGAGTTAGTGTTTGACCCTGAATTTTGTTGATAGTCATGGCATATGCGAGCATCAACGTGAATTGTTTTCGTTAGAACTTGAAGTGCAATCTCGTATCAAAAAGGTGAAAGACATTTTAATTGAAGATTTACTTTTATTAATAGTATAAATTATTATTTCCTTATAAAATTACATAGAATTTCAAATGGATTTTCCCATTTATTACACAGAATTTGTTTCTGTTATTCTCACAATTATAATGGTTTAATTATTCTTAGAATTTGATAACCATTTTGACTTTAATCTGTGGTAACAATTCATTAGATATAGATATTAAATTGGGCAGGAATGTGGAGAGGGGGATTTTACTTTTATTAATAGTATAAATTGGTGTAAATAATAATTAATAAATAATTATTTCTTTATAAAATTACGTAGAATTTCAAACAAATTTTCTCATTTATTACGCAGAACTTGTGTCCATTATTTTCACAATTATAATAATTTAATTATTCTCAGAATTTGGTAACCATTTTTTATTTTTATGTACATATTGACTTTAATCTATGGTAACAATTCATTAGATATTAGTTAATTTTCATATAAAATTTTGTAACCAATTAAGCTTTATTAATTTTGTACTAATTAATTATTATTCATATTTATTTGGGCTAGAATGTTGTAAAGGAGGATTTTACTTTTATTAATATTATAGATAGATTAATTTCATTTTGAAATCATTGGTTCACATATTTCAATTATTTATTTTTTACTTTAATTATTCTTATTGTAATCATAATTGATATTGCAGTAATTAATTTATGATATTTATCAAATTGTATATTGTTTAAAATATAAAATTTTCTCATGTTTAGGGGTTAAAAAAATATTTTAAAATTATTTTTATTTTTAAAATATTTTCCAGCAACTCAAACACTCACTTAGTCTTGCATAAAAAACTGATAAAGAAAAGTCATTTAACTAAGGAAATTAAAACTAATTAAAATAAATCTAATCATGCTATATTTATTTGTAACTGTATATTAATTTCATTTTGAAATCATTCGTTCACATATTTGAATTATTTATTTATTTTAATTATTCTCATTGTAAACATAAATGATATTACAATAATTAATTTATGATATTTATCAAATTGTAATTTTTTTAAATATAGAATTTTCTCCTGTTTAGGGATTAAAAAATATTTTAAAATTATTTTTTATTAGTAAGTATTTTTATTTTTAAAATATTTTCTAGCAACCCAAACACTTCCTTAGTCTCTAATAAAACACTGATAAAGAAAAATCATTTCATTAAGAAAATAAAAACTAATTAAAGTAAATCTAAATATGCTATATTTATTTCTAATTGTATATTAATTTCATTTTGAAATTATTAGTTCACATATTTGAATTATTTGTTTTTTCTTTAATTATTATAAACAGAAATTATGATATTTATCAAATTGTATTTTTTTTTTAAAAAAAAATATAAGATTTACACATGTTATGAGGGGTTAAAAAATATTTTAAAATTATTTTTTATTAGTATGTATTTTTATTTTAAATTATTTTCCAGCAATCCAAACACTCTCTTAGTCTACCATAAAAAACTGATAAAGAAAATTCATTTCATTAAGGAAATAAAACTAATTAAAGTAAATGTAATCATGCTATATTTATTTGTAACTGTATATTAATTTCATTTTGAAATCATTGGTTCACATATTTAAATTATTTAAAAAATTCATATAATTAAGTTGATTTATTTCACCAAGACCATGTGGTCTAATGGTATCCGGGTTGGACTTTCATTTAGAAGATTGTGAATTCGAGCTTCAGTGGAGGTGTTATCGGCTTTCTGAATACTACATTGTAACATTCAAAAAAAAAGTTGATTTATTCCAAATTGTATTTCATATATATTTTAATTCTAAAGATATGAATATAATAACTAAGAGAATTGTACTTAGAAATCAATAAAAAAAATGTAAATTCTAAATTTTGCATTAATAAATTTAAACTCTAATTGAACGCATTTCCTTATATGAGTGTATAATACATTGTATATACACATAATATTTATTAATATGTATATAAGAAAATTCAATTCTATAATATAATTTCATTAATTATAATTTATATTGATAGATATATTTATAATTAAAAATTATATTTAGAAATTTAAAAAATAGCATTTAAATTTTGTATGATTATTATAGTGCATAAGTGTATGTATGTATATTTTTAAAAAATTATAAATATTCATGTTTTGTTAATTTTATAATTTCATTTATTTAATTATATTTTATAGTTTATTAATTATAATATAATGAAATTGTCACAAATATTTTGAAATCTTATATTTCTCAATTTCATTAATTATAGTAATTATAATTACTAAATATTGTGGCAATTACTATAATAATTTCATTAATTATATTGATTATAATATACCTTCCAATATTTAAATACATTACCATAAAATTACCATAATAATTACACAAAAGAAGGAAAGTAAAATTAGGAAATTATATTAAAAATTAATTATATATTAAGGCAAGTATAATTTATTTTGTACCAAAAATATTATACATTAAGTATAAAAACTATATATGTATACAAATTACCATAATATATAATTACACCGAAAAAGGTGATAATACATAATTATAAGACAATAATATTAATAATTAATTATTAAGGCAAGTGATGGGGTGAGGAACCCGGCCCAAGAAGATGGGCCCAAGAGAGGAGTCCAAGATAGGAGATGGGGGCCAATAGCGAAAGAAGCCCAGTGAAAGCTTGGGCCGAGTCCAGGAGTCGGCCCAGGCCCGAGCATAAGGAGAGACCCGGCCCTGGGCCGTTAGGGAGCATTCAAAGAACCTCATTTAAGAGGACCCGGCCCAGAAAGCCGTTGAAGGATGTCCAACGTAGCATTTAAGTCGGTCCAGGAGCCGTTGGGGTATTCAAAGCAGGCATCCCGTAAGACTCGACCAAGCAGGATGTTTAAAAGACCATAGAGCCGTTGGCCCACCCGGTAAACGGCGCCCAACGGCCTTATAATTGTAATTATCCTTGAAAGCAGCAATTAATGTCCTTCAATTCGGATGGAAGGGGGCCTACTATATAAAGGCCCCTCCACTCTTGTAAACGGGAGGCGGGTCCATGCCCAGTGAATAAGAAACAAACTCTCTAGCTATTATTTCGACTACTCTTCGATTGTTAAAAGCTTTGTGAAAGGTTAATCCACCAACCAAGGTTGTGTTGGACCTCCCTGGGCCCGAAAACCCAAAAACCAACACTGGCGCCGTCCGTGGGGATCGATACAAAGAGCTACGTGACTCTCTGAGTGGGGCGAGTCCCGAAGTCGACCGAAAAAGCGTCACAAGCATGTCAGAAGGACGAGACCAAGCGAATAACCGCGATAATGGAGTGGAAGCAGATCTGAGAGATCAGTTAAACCAATGAAACGCCCAAAGTCAGGAAAACGAGACGGCACCGGTAAACCGACAGCCACCCATGATACCCCTCACCCCGGAGCAACTCCACGCAATCGGGCGAGCCTTCGGTCTCTCGACCGATGCCTCGCCATCAGCAATCTTCCCAGAGGCCGGAAGACAGACGAGAGAACCGGCGGGCCGAGAGTCAGCCAGTACGATCGGTTCACTCCAGGCTGTGTCCAAACGCCGGACGACAATCTGCACGAGAACGACTAGGGGAGAGGGAGCCCAGCCGCGCACCAGCAGGCCCCTGAGATCAAGAAGCCGGTCGCGAAAGAACTCACACCAGGAGAACCAGGACTCGGGCACGGCGGACCGAGCGCCTCACGCGCAATGATGACTGACCAGCTGAATCGGAAGTCGGCGAGAGTACCGAATCCACAGGAAATCATACTCGCAATAGAGGCGATGTGGCCCAATTGGCCCGAGAGGTACGAGATCTGAAGGAACAAATGGGGGGAAGGACTAAATCCCCTGGGCAAACGTTGCTCACTGCTTTGCCATTCTCCTCCGAGATCATGTCTTATAAAGTGCCCGGCGACTTCAAATTCCCGGAACAAGCCACCTTTGACGGATCCGGAGACCCACGCGAGCATCTGCTCAGTTATCAGGCCAAGATGCAAGTCTTAGGAGTCCGAGACCCGGTAATGTGTCGCGCCTTCTTGCCCACGCTAAAAGGCTCGGCACAAAGATGGTTAGTGGCGCTGCCTCCGGGATCGATTCACAATTTCGAGGAGCTGGTCGATCGCTTCATGAGCCATTATGCGGCCAACATCAAACCACAGAAGGATTTGACTCATCTGGGAGACGTCCACCAAGAAGAAGGTGAGTCCTTGAAAACCTACTTGGTTCGATGGCAAAAGGAGATCCAGTATATCGAGGAGGTCGAAGACCAGACCGCACTCACTTTCTTCATCGAGTCCTTGCGATCCGGGCAGTTATACCAGGATCTGCGGGATAATCGCCCGGCCACCTACGCGGAAGCCATAGATATGGCTAATAAGAGGGCTAACACGGAGCAGACCATGAAGCATAAACGGCAGCGTGAGGTCGGAGGATCCGCCGGTGGAAAGAGGACCCGTGCGGAAACCAAGGAAAGACGCCCGGAAGGGGCTCGGCGACCCGAAGGTAGGCGTCCCTATGACAAGCCTATTGTCCATCCCTATAGGACGGTTCCTCAACACCCGGTACACGAGGTACAAGCGGTCGCTCCACCTCCGCCCCCACCGACTGACGATCGCGTTACTAACGAAGAGACAGGTAAGAACTCTAAGTACTGCCGCTATCACAAATCTTACACTCACAGCACGGAAGAGTGCTTTTACTTGAAAAAGATCATGGAAGGAATCATCCAACAAGGGACCCCGCCTCCTAATCAGTGGAGGCGGAGGTCGGCGGCACGGGAGGACAGTGACCCCGCAGTCGCCGCCGAGAGCAGTCGCGGCAAGCAGCTCGTGACCGAGGAAGATGAGGCCCAACACCAGAAAGGCCTGGCCTGGGCTCGACAGTTGTATGTTGGTACAGTATATGGGGGCGAAGAAGGTTCGAAGAAAGTGTGCCGGGAGCCTATCATGTTCACTGACAAAGACCTACCCACGGGGAAGACACCGCATCGAGATGCCCTGGTCATAGCGATGGACGTAAATGGGGTAGTCGTTCGATGAATCCTGGTCGACACCGGGAGCAGTGTCAACGTACTATACCTCGATACTTTCACAAAAATGGGATTAACCCGAGAACAGCTGAATCCAGTCAAGACACCACTCGCCGGTTTCACCGAAGACTCGGTGGAGGCAGAGGGATCCATTACCTTACCGCCTACCGGTGGAAGTCGGTAGCTATCCCGACGTACAGAAGCTCAACATGAAGTTCATCGTGGTGGACTTAGTCTGCTCATACAATGCTATACTCGGCCGAACAGGCCTGGAGGATCTAGGAGCACTGATCTCTATCGAGCACCTCTGCCTGAAATTCCGCACACTGAGCGAGATAGGCACGGTACGTTGCGACAGAAGAGTCGCCCGCGACTGCTATCTACAGGCCTGCAGGGGGATGGGCAAGCATAAAATGCAAGTCCACGAAATCATGGAAAATCCCCCAAAGAAAGCAATGATACCCCGCCCAGAGCCGACCCTGGACGGCCAGACAGGCGGGTCAGAATTGGGGCCGGTCTCCCTGAGGAGATACGAGAGGAAATTATCAAAGTACTCCGAGAGCACCGGCTAGTATTTGCCTGGGGGCCAGAGGATATGCCAGGCAACGACCGGTCCATCATCGCCCATCGACTCGCCATGGATCCAGACCATCGGTCGGTCGTACAGAAAAAGCAGTATCTCGCTAATGACCGAAGGGAATTCGTAAAGAAAGGGGTGAGCACGCTGCTAGCCGCGGGCCACATCCGAGAGGTTAAATACCCGGAGTGGTTGGCAAACGTAGTCCTCGTACCGAAACCCCCAGCCTGGCGGATGTGCGTGGATTATACTAATCTTATCAAAGCCTGCCCAAAGGATCCGTTCCCCTTGCCGCGGATCGATCAGCTGGTCGACGAGACCGCAGGGTCGGCTCTGCTGAGCTTCATGGACGCCTTCAGGGGGTATCATCAGATCTTCATGCACCCGGCCGACGAGGAGAAAACCGCGTTCTTAACACCGGACGGGGTATATTGTTACCGAGTTATGCCCTTCGGACTCAAGAATGCTGGGGCAACTTACACTCGGATGGTAGCCCGGCTATTCCACGACCTGCTGGGGAAGTCCATGGCGGCCTACGTAGACGACATGTTAGTCAAAAGCCGATAAGAGGTCAAGCACGCGGAAGATTTGGCCGACTACTTCCAAGTGATGCTAAGATATAATCTCCGACTAAACCCGAAGAAATGTGCCTTCGCGGTGCAAGGCGGGAAGTTCTTAGGATACATGGTGACAAAACGAGGCATCGAGCCCAACCCTGAGAAGGTTCAGGCCATCCTTGACATGCAGCCTCCCAGTACCGTCAAATATTTACAACGGTTAACTGGTCGATTGACTGCCCTCAGTCGCTTCTTGAGCAAGGCGGCAGACAAAACCATACCCTTCTTTGAGGCCATGAAGAAGAAGGAAGGCTTTGCATGGACGACCGAGTGCCAACAATCGTTCGAAGGAATACTAGATCACCTCGCCAAGATTTGCCAAAAGGAAGAATTAAGTCGTCCAAGTATAGAGGAGACGTCGTTGGAGGTCCAACAGGTAACTATCGAGGAATGGGATCAAGAGGAAAACCCCGAGATGTTTTGGATAGAAGACATCCGGCGATTTAAGGAAGCGGGCGAGTTGCCAGATGACCAAGGAGTCGCCGCAAGGATTCGACGAAAAGCCCCTTCATTCCAGATCATTGACGGGCAAATGTACAAGCGGTCATTCGGAGGCCCCCTCTTGAAGTACCTACTCAGGCCCGAAGCCGAGAGGATAATGGATGAAGCTTACCGAGGAATCTGCGCCGCCCACCAGGGAGCCCACACTCTCGCCCGGAAACTAGTCGTCCAGGGGTAGTACTGGCCGACCATGATGCGAGATTGCATTGAGTGGATAGCTAAGTGCGGCATTTGCCATGCCTTCGCCAGAAAGGATACTCGGCCGGCCACCTTCTACACGCCGGTCACCACAGCCATCCCTTTTGCTAAGTGGGGAATCGACTTGTTAGGACCGTTACCAGTCGCCCCGGGAAGCCTGAAATTCTGCGTCGTGGCCATCGATTACTTCACTAAATGGGTTGAGGCCGAGCCACTGGCCACCATCACCGAGTACCAGTGTCGACGCTTCCTGTGGAAAAAGGTGATTTGCCGTTTCGGCCTGCCCGAGCACGTAGTTAGCGATAACGGCCGACAGTTTGACTGTCAAGCCTTCGCTGACTTCTGTCACCGGCATAGTATACGACACACCAAGGTATCCGTCGCGTACCCCCAGGCCAACGGACAAGTCGAAAATGTAAATCGGACCATAGTGGACGGGATTCGGAAGAAGTTGGAAGACATCGGGGGAAATTGGGCGGATGAGCTCGACCGGGTCCTGTGGGCTTATCAAACTACGCAAAGACGGGCGACGGGAGAAAGCTCATTTTCCCTAGCATACGGCTTTGAAGCCAAGGTTCCGATAGAAGTCGTAGAACCCACCCACCGAGTCCGCAACTATTCTGATGAGGAAAATGAGGAGAGCCTTAAAATTGAGAAGAATTTCCTGGAGGAAAGAAGGGAGGCCGCGCACGCCCGGATGGTGGAATATCAGCAAGCCGTGAAGAGGTATCGTGATCGAAGGATTCGCCCACGAACCTTTCTGGTCGGCGATATCGTGTTACGGGACCGATAGGCGAGTCAGCCTACGGAAGGGGGTAAATTCGCGATCAAATGGGAAGGACCGTATCGCATTGCAGCCGTAGTCCAAGCCGGTACCTACAAACTGGAGACCCTAGAGGGAAAGCCCATGGACCGAATCTGGAATGTCATCCACTTGAAAAAGTTTTACCAATAAAAGGTTAGTCGTGTATGAGTATCTTAATTTCTAAACTTAAATAAAAGAGCACCAATTACCACCGATTACCGCCATCCACTCGGCGAGAAGAGATGGGAAACAAGGGCCCAGACCCTTAGTCGTTTCCGTGAAAAAGCCAAAAGGAGTCGCCTCGACTGAGAGACTCGGCGAGAAATTAAAGAAACAACGGGGCACTGACCCTAAACCGTTTCTAAGAAAAGAAAAAGCCTAAGGAGTCGCCTCGACTGAGGGACTCGGCGAGAAGAGATGGGAAACAAGGGCCCAGACCCTTAATCGTTTCCGTGAAAAAGCCAAAAGGAGTCGCCTCGACTGAGGGACTCGGCGAGAAATTAAAGAAACAATGGGGCACTGACCCTAAACCATTTCTAAGAAAAGAAAAAGCCTAAGGAGTCGCCTCGACTGAGGGACTCGGTGAGAAGAGATGGGAAACAAGGGCCTAGACCCTTAGTCGTTTCCGTGAAAAAGCCAAAAGGAGTCGCCTCGACTGAGGGACTCGACGAGGAATTAAAGAAACAACGGGGCACTGACCCTAAACCGTTTCTAAGAAAAGAAAAGGCCTAAGGAGTCGCCTCGACTGAGGGACTCGGCGAGAAGAGATGGGAAACAAGGGCCCAGACCCTTAGCCGTTTCCGTGAAAAAGCCAAAAGGAGTCGCCTCGACTGAGGGACTCGGTGAGAAGAGATGGGAAACAAGGGCTTAGACCCTTAGCCGTTTCCGTGAAAAAGCCAAAAGGAGTCGCTTCGACTGAGGGACTCGGCGAGAAATTAAAGAAACAACGGGGCACTGACCCTAAACCGTTTCTAATAAAAGAAAATGCCTAAGGAGTCGCCTCGACTAAGGGACTCGGCGAGAAGAGATGGGAAACAAGGGCCCAGACCCTTAGTCGTTTCCGTGAAAAAGCCAAAAGGAGTCGCCTCGACTGAGGGACTCGGCGAGAAATTAAAGAAACAACAGGGCACTGACCCTAAACCGTTTCTAAGAAAGGAAAGAGCCTAAGGAGTCGCCTCGACTAAGGGACTCGGCAGGAAACAAGGGCCTAGACCCTTAGTCGTTTCCGAGAAAAGAAAAGGAGTCGCCTCGACTGAGGGACTCGACAGGGTATTAAACCGTTTCCAAGCATCAAAAGAGTAGAAAAGTCACCTGGATCACAGGAATTCAACAAAATGGAAGAAGCCCAAGGCCTTAAGTTATTTTTTATGGATTAAGATCAAAAAGAGATAAAAGCAGTCGGAAGAAGCAGAAAAGGAATTTCATTAATGAAGGACCCAAGAGGGGGGCCGACCCTTACAAAAGAGGGCTACCAAAAGGAAAATCCTAAACTACTGGGGAGGGGGTGTCGACATCAACTTCCTCGACTCGAGCTTCAGCCGTTGGTCCAGCTGGAAGAGTAAGTGAGGGGTCTTCTGCCTGGGGAGGCGGCTCCGTAAGCTCAGAAGGTTCCGCCACAGGAGGAGCTGCCGGATCTGCAGTCGACGCGGGCTCATTAGTCGCCGGCAGGGGATCCAGTATTGGCTTAAGGCCCCAGCTCTCGGGGGTAAAGGCAGAGTCGCGGGCCAGCAGGGCGGCATGAATTTCCATTTGGGCCTCGCGAAAACCCAGACGATAGTCCCGCTCGCCCAAGTCCAGGAGATAATCATCTCCTTCCGGCGTCGCCAGCCACTCCTTGGTGATCTCCTTTTGTCGAGCCGCCACCGCTGCCTTCACATCCGCTTCGAAGGCCGCCAACTTCTTGTAATCCTCCACCGAAGTCGTGGCGATCGACGCGACCTTGTCCCGCTCCTCCTCCCACTGACGGGTAACCCTCAACAGCTCGGAGGTGTGCACCTCCACCGACTTGGCGTGCACAGCCTGCTCTTCCAGGCGAGCCTCCTCTGTTTGGCGCAGTCGGGTGGCAAGAGATTGCAGTCCAGCCTTGTACCCCCTCAGTCGCCTACTCATTTCCATCTGGAAGGTGAGGTTCTGCAAGAAAGAAGAAGTTAGACGAAGAAAAGAAAAACAAAAAGAAGAAACGAAGAGTCGGAACACTTACGCGATATGACTGGCGGAGCGAAGCTTCAAGGATGTATTCATCCTGCATCGAGCCGGTCATCTCCACGTCCTTAGGCAGAAGGACATGGTCGGCCCAAGTCCGGACAGAAGAA